ATATATATATATATACTAAATTACACTTTGATTTCTTATGATATTTAACCTGCAATTTTTATCACACAATTTTCGTCATTAAATTTTATAAAACTTGTAATTTTGATTTCACTATTAAATATTAATTATAATTTAATATTAAATAGATGACTTAATAATTAATTATTAATATTATTAGATTAAATTAAAATTTTATTGTTATTTTTATCTCGTAAACGTGTGATAATAAAATATGAAAAGGATTAAATATGTTGATTCGAATTTATGAGGAAGCTAATGATTCAGATGAAACAAGCCCTCGTGCTGTAAAAATAATAAATAAATAAAAAGGTTAAAAAACCTAAAAATATAATTTAATCTAAATAATATTAAATATTATTTATAATATATTTCACTTAATGTAAAATCATAGTCAATATTATAATTATTTATTTACCGTGAGTATTGTATATCTAACTAGTAATATAATTTATGTTTTTTTTTTCATTGAGAGTGAGAAAAGGAATTTTAATGATTAGATTTCATGTGAATAAAGGTTAAGAGTTTTTAAACATGTTAGTCATGTCATATTTTAGACAAATTATGTGACTTTTTACGTGGTCACATAATATTAAATATGTATACTTTATATTATTTTTATTTGTAAAAAAGTGAAGAAAAAAAATACATCTAAAATTGAAAAAAAAAATCCTTATGACATCAATCATTATAAATAATTAAATTAATTAATGAAAGAAGGATAATTCATTTATATAATTAAATTATTGATTATAGACGAACTAAAAAATTTACACATAATTCTTGATATATATGGTGGATCTTTTATATATATACTAAACTTTCTTCTTTTTACTCATTAATATAAGTTCATATATAATATTTATGCTAACATATAAATTTTCATTAGGAAAAAACTATCTTATTGAAATTAAGTACAATAACTATCACTCTCTTATAATGTCATTGTATGTAGTAGTTTTCTTAATATTGAGTTAGCATTATTATTTTAGAAGATCAATTATCACTTACATATATAACAGTTATGTTTATTCATATTCTTTAAAGCTGACTTTAAAAATTAACGTAAGACAATAAATTAACTATTTAAAGTTCTAACTTATATAAATTTAACTTATTTAGTTATTTCAATTAATAACTATCTTTTCTTTAGAAAATATATATTATAATTAGATCTATAAAATAATATATTATCTGGTGGGTCATATGACATTGACTAAAATTTGTGAATGACTTAATACGAAATAGAATATGCAACCTTTCGCGATTACTGCCCTAATAGAAGTGGTCTTTTCGGTGTAGCTGCCGGCCATTAGAATCTTTAAAATAGCCCTCATAAGAGAAGAGAGGGAGAACCCTGGTGAGACTATATTTTAAGAAATTAAGCTAATATAAAATATTAAAAAAAATATCGACATTAATTTAATTATTTAAAAAATATTGACATTTTTTTATTTTAGGAATTGTACTCTCCTGAATTGGGCATGCTGACATGGTCAAATATATCATCTATTTGGAGGATGTCCTAACTTAATCCCTACATCTTTCAAGTTTGGGATTGGTGAACAAGTGTACTTTTTGAAATATTCTATGACATGGACTTGCCAAGTTGGATTAGATAGGGACAAGTAATAGATCGAGTCAGTCAGAGTTACTTCGATCTCTATGCCAATATAATAGGTAATCAACAGAGACTATTCTAGGGACATTCGAAATTAGTATGACCCCTATATCTAGCATAAAGTCAACCAAGTCATTCCTAGGGTCAATCAGAACTAATTTGAACCCTTTATCCAATATAAAATCTTATCATTAATAACTATGATCACACATCAAGATATGATATCTAATAATGGGAAAAGATTTCATAATAATGGCAACCCGAAACAATTATCTCCTTACGCCTGACATCACTCCTTTGACGCCCAACACCAATCCAACCCAAGATAATTCTCTCACCTCATGTCTTATTCAAACCCCACTCGACGTCAATTCTACCCGAGATGATTCTATCTCTTCACGTTCGATGCCATTGATCTGCGCCTAGCGTGAACAAGATAAAGGCCTCTGATTGAAATCGCAACTGATACCTTAAAGGCGTGCCCGACATGACGACGAGTTCTACACATAACAAACCCTTGAAATTGCCCCCAAGGTACTTGAAACTCTTTAAATCAAGCATGCATTGCAGCATTTCATACATATGCATCATAATAAATAACTCGAATCCACTTAGAAAATCAACATGCAATATCATTTAAGATCAAATCATCAATCATTTCAACAACTTCAAACACCCAAACCCAACCTTTCACCACACCACCTAAAGATTTCAACAACATAACCACCTTTGATGAACATAAACAACATGCAACTCAACCAAATTATCAACAAGTCAATCCGAAGTTCTCCTACCTCAACTCCAAACCAAATTGAGAAGGAGAAAAGGAAGAAGGGAGAAACAGACATTGAGTTCCAATAACATAAGCTCCACACCTACTTCATGGGATTCTCAACTCCAAGTAGCTTTAAATCACCACTAGCTACAAGAATCACAACTCTAAAGCTCTCAAAAATCTATGAGAAGAAGAAGGAGAAGGTTCAATAACTAGAACTTCCCTCTTTAAGATCTGAAGAACATGAACTTATGAGACTCAATTCTTAACATAAATCTTATATACCTTTCCTCATAGAATCAACTTGACCTTAGGCTAGAAAAACTCTCTAAACACCTCAACAACTCTTTGAGAGTTTCTCAACTTTCCAAAGTCACTCAATCACACTAGAGACACATCACATACAATTATTGATTAAAAATAATAATAATGAAAAGGTATAATGTTACAAAAGGAAAAGGGAAAGAAAAAATAAAAGAGAGAGAGAAAGTAAAAGATAAAATGCAGTGAAAAAGAAAAGGAAAATAGTATTAAAAGAAGTAACAAAGAAATGCAAGAAAAAACGAGTATGAATACAAATCGAATTCCTTAACACATTTAACAAATAAATAACGTGACATGGAAATTGTATATGGTAGATTAGTCGTTATTATTAGGCCAAGACAGCACGACCATCAACGATATTGGTTAAATTTATATTTTGATATCATATGATGTTTAGTAATGTTATTTTATCCGTGTCTGAAGTCAGAACCTTCGGTCTGCCCCCCTCCAACGTAAAAATTCACATAAGCAAGTGCATAGTGGACTTAATGCAATATACAAATCCAAATTATTACGACACTGGGAATCTTTGAGTATTTAAACATGAATCTTGAAATTAGTGGCGTTGTGCTTGATCAATTTGAAGCTGACAACTACAATTAATGATTTTAATTTTGCAGTGAAGTACATATGACTGTCTCATTGGAAATAAAGTAAAGCATGGTTGAATGAACATGTTGCCGCGTAATCTCTTCCACGAGATGCAGTGATAAGTAATAAGGAAATGGACGGGTCAAATGGGCAACAATGACGAAAACATTACAAGGATTCGACACTTATTCAATTGTAAGGTGTAACATCTAAAAGTGCCTTTCACCTAATGCTAATAGAAAATATAATAAGTTCCAAATCGATGACGAATGGTGTGACCCTAACCAAAATGCTAACAAGCCAAGACAAATGGAGGGGGAATGGACAAATTTTTCTTCTATAATTTAATTATCATTGATTATCATGTGAAATTTTACTTCAGGATCTAACTTCTCATTTTATTCCGACATATATAGCAACATATAAGATTGCGAACATTACCTTCTGGATCTGCTTTGATCTATTTATTTATTTATTATTTTTTATACATGGATCATTTCTTGCTATTATCTAAATAAAAGACAGAACATTACATTTTACACTAGAGATGGGGGAGAAGCAGTTCTGTCCGCAAAAATCGATTTGCTCTACAAATGCGAACCGGATGCCCTTATTGTTCCATATATGTGACACCGATCGAGATATCATATGGTACATTCAATTTTGAATATTTGACACCAAGATATGGGTCATAGAATTTAGATACCAGATTAGATTCACCAGTTGCCTCGACTTTGTTGACCTTTCTCAAGACATGCCAATTTAATTGAAACCACAGATAAAAAAATAAAATAAAATAAAAACTTCAACCATTAGATTCGGCCTAATAACAAAAAGATTTGAATGAATTATGTAAAATTTTAGATTTAGCCTTACTGTTAATTACTTTTCAACTCGAGGAATAATTCTATCGCCCAAACATTAAAGAGTACGAGTCAAAACGTACTTCTGTCCGCTTATTATGTCTCCTTATATAGCTGCTTTGCCTTACTCCGATTTCTGTCTTTCATCTCTAATAATTTGGATCAGTCTTTATTTCTTAGTCGTGTTGTGTTTCATGTGTAACTGATTTATCAAATTGATAACTTTTGCTCATTATAAGATATAATTGTCATTGTTATAACTGTTTTTCCTTTACTGATTATCTTTATATATCTGATATACCCATGATTGTTAAGCCTCGACCAATGTCTAGTAGTCTAGTTATTATAGCAGAGGTTAGTCAGTAATCAGTTCTATCACAATAGTCGATTGGTTTTCCACCTACGTGGTGTGGGTCGGTCAGTCCTCGATCTATGAGGATACAGTTACATATTAATAAGAATTCAATCCAGAAAAGCTGTCTTTGAGTTTTAATACGTTGACTGTAATTGTTTCCCTTCTCTCAATTTTGTGTCATGTTTACAGTTTCCTTCTCTTCGTTAATAATAATGGTCAGTCGTGTAAAATTTCCACATCGCACCAGTATATTCACTGGAATAGTGAGCCTTAGTTGGTAACGAATCAAAGTCATTAATATATATTGCTTTTGAGCAATTGTAAATTAGATTGGACTTTCAACAGCATGCAAAATGGTATACTCACGTTAGAAAATTGGCAGGAAAGATGAAGGAAAATCAACCTCATCTAGATGCTAAAGGCCAAGTTGAACAAAAAGTATTGCTACTATGTGCATTGTTTTCCAATCACCATATGATGAGTTTGGTTATATACTATTATTACTCACAAACAGAGACCATGCATCTCTACACCATTTACAAGCAAAACTGAGGCAAGGGCACACCTAAAGCTCAATCTTTCTTTGATTTGAGCTGTATCCCAAGTAGTACAAGTCCCACTGAGGTAAATGCAGACAAGAACGTTGAGAAGTAAAAAAGAGAAAGCAATGCTCCTTTTAAAGACTGCAGCCAAACAATTAGAGATTTTGAGGATCAGTAATCAACAGAAACAAGTTGAAGTGACGTTGAGTGAGAAGTTATTACAAAGCACCTTAGCAAGCAGCAGGGCATTGTCATTTGCATACTGCAAAGAACTGTCAGGAGCGTTTTGAATTCCCTGAGCTATTTCCCAAGAAAGAATCCTATGTTCCAAATTTAAACAAAAGAACTGAGTTTTCTGCGTCTCAATCCTCTTTCTAATAAAAATCAAGTTCCACTTCAAAAACTTACCCAAAAACAATTCCAATTGCAGCACCAATATTGGCCTTATCTGGTGTTATTTCAACCTGCAATTCTCCAAACTGCAATTGGCAACCATGTTACTAATTTTGCAGTTCCTTAGTCATAGTTTCTTATAACAGGAAACATGCCATAGCCAGAGACAGAATAATTACAGACTTTCAGCATCCTAGTTTCATCTTTCGGTTGTTCAACTGTTACTGCAGAAGTTGAAGTAGCAGATAGAGCTCTCCCAGCTGCTATCATTGCTTTTGAAATCTATGATGGTTAAACATTGACAAATATCAGTGTTAGTAAGTCAAATATGAAGTAACTATAACACATAAAAAAAGTGATTAAAGTGAAGTAATTCATGGTTCCCCAGTCCTCTTTTGGTCCTAATAATAGTTTAATATCCTTTGTTTCAACACAATATATATTTTCAAAGAGAAGAATAATTCTAAAAAGAAATTAAAATCATATCATATAGAGGGTAAATGACCCCGAATATAGCAACAAGAAGAGCAGAAGCAGAAACGGATATCATCAGTTAGTTATTCCCCAAAAACTTTCAATCATCTTCTCATTACATCAATTTGGCGGAAGCCAGAGATATCCGGCACGGATGTAGAGTAAATACCTGTTGTGGCTCACCTTGGCCATACTGTCCCATTGATTGAAACCTTCGACCAGCAGATATCAAACGCTTTCCAAGTGCTAACCAACAAAAGGAACAAAGACATTTTCAAGCTAAAGACATTTTCAAGCTAAATATTTTCTCATGGTTTACCTGATTTGGAAGAACCTGTCAACTTGGCCTCAATCAAAGGAAGCTTTTTCACTAAAGAGTGGGAGGTTGATGTGTCAGCAAGTTCCCAAGCTCGAGAGAGGTTCAGCAATGTCTCTCCCAACTCTTGGCCACACTGAGAAAGTATATTTATCCCCATTAAACATAAAATATCCATTATATTTAGGTACGGGAAATACAGCAGACACACATGGTAGTAGAGACATATTAGGAGGCAATTAATGGATTAGCACTAGGTTACATACACAATTACACATGTACCTCAAATATATTGAGTGTGATGAATATAAAGCTAAGAAGCACTCAGTCTTAATTGGAATCTGAAATTGTGCTGGCAAATTGTAGCTAGTAATAAGAACCAACCTCATCTAAAACAGGTCCACTTGAAAGGTCGAACGCGGCGTCGTTTAGCTTCACAAAAGTTAAAACACAAACATGATTCAGGGCAAAGGAGCATCTTTAATTTGTCATTGATCCATAGTGGAAACTATTGCATGATAATGCTGAGCGTGGACACAGCAAAGAATTGCACACTGCACTTACGTCTAATCGAAGATCGCGGGGGAGCTGTGAAAAGTAATCAGGAGGAAGATCAAAACTGTCCTGCAATAAAAACGCACATGAACTCTTGAATCATGAAATTTAATAAATAAATAAATAAAACGAAGGGGAATATTTTGTATTTTCAAGTAGAAATTTGAAACCCACCCAGAAGGTTTAAAGAAGAAAAGGTTAAATTTGAAGATGGAAAATGAATGACTTACAGCAATTTGTTGGAGAAGAGTTTGAGGGTCAGGTTCTATGGATTTGGGGGAGTCGGACTCTGTTAGCGCGAAACGCACAGCGAGAGGCTTGGAAAGATAAATGGTATTGGTAGAAGAAATTGGAGTACCGAATTTGAGTGAGGTCAGGGAAGCCAACTGATGGGTGTAATAGTGGGATATAGGTGCTATAGAAGACCAGAATCGAAGCGAAGCTGAAGCTGAAGCCATTGTTTACTTCCCAACTTGGATTCAAGCTATGAAACTCAGTGTCAGGCTGTCAGCCACTGAAATTCCGACATTTTTCATGCGACTTATCTTTTATTTAGATTATTAGTAGATTAGTAGATAACTTGTCTTTTTTATTTTGGATACTTTAGAGAGGCAGAGAGAAAACAAAAAAGGTTCAGAAGAACATGTGATAAATATAAATTAAGATCGAAAATGGAACGAAAATAAGACGAAAGAAAAAGTGAACGGATGACTATTTATTTATTTTCAGTAATAACAAAACTCAAGTTATTATCTGTGGGAGGTGTATGATTAACTATCACGTCAAATGAGTTTATCATCTCCAATAATTAAGTGCGTGTTTACTTTAGCTTTTGGACGTGAAAATTCACGTTTGTGAGAAGCAAAAAATTGTAATTTTTACGTAAATTAACTTGTAAACGTGGAGAGAGAGTGAAAAATTACGTTTCTAAATCTAAAGCAAACACGCACTAAGAAAAAACAAAGACAATTTTCGTTTTTACTTTGTGGGCAACTTTCTATACCCTAAAGCATAACCAAACCTAATTTATTGATGACTCTAGCGATACACTTTGTGGTTTTTACGGTTAGAAATGCAGTTAGAAATGCTAAGAGGCTTAAACAAATTAGCAGAAGGATGGAGATAAATTGATACAATATGTATCTGAGGTACCTGCAATGAAAATAAAAAATAACAGAATAGAGAGGAAAGAAACCAGATTTCCAGAGAGCAAGGCTCTCCCAAGCAAGAGAGGAGTATCTCTCTGCTCCCAATATCACTAACCAATTTCTAAAAGCTGTCCCATGATTATTACAAAGAGAATATATAACCAACCCTCACTTTCTAATAACAGAATCTGCAATTTCCAAAATACCCCTCCCAGCTAACAGCAATCTCACTAACACTCAGTATTGGGTTTTATTCTTGGGCCTCCGACTATAGACTTGAATGGGTTTGCTCCACTTGGAGGAATGGTTTCTATCAATACCGTGTCCCACAAAACTAGCCTTGTCCTCAAGGCTAAAATCCAGAAATTTGGCGCGAATGTCAGCAGCAGACTCCCAAGTGGCCTCCTCAACAGGTTGTGACTTCCAAAGGACGAGCCATTCTGCAGAACAAGAGGAATCCTTGCCTTCTCGTACTACCAACACTGTCTCCGGTGCTGGAAGCAGAAATGAGACCAGAGGGCATGGCAGATAAAGAGGATCCCTTAGTAACAGAACGTTTCAGTTGGGACACATGGAAAACCGGGTGAATTTGAGCTGTATTTGGAAGCTGCAACTTGTAAGCTACGACTCCCACCTTAGACAGAATTTGAAATGGCCCATAGTAACGAGGAGACAACTTGGGATTGATGCGACGAGCTACTGAGAGTTGGCGATGAGGGCGTAGCTTAACATATACCCAATCACCCACACTAAATTCAAGTTGTCGGCGATGCTTGTCAGCATTCTTCTTCATGGTTTGCTGAGCCCGATGGAGATGGAATTTCAATTGTCGGAGTGCCTCATCTCGATCACTCAAAACAGCAGCAACCGAATCTACTTGAGTCTCACCAGGGAGGTATTGGATAATGGAGGGTGGAGGACGACCATAGAACATCTCAAAAGGGGTGGAACCTGTAGCTGTATGAGTGGAGGTGTTATACCAAAATTCAGCCCAAGAGAGCCACATGTACCATTTGGCTGGTTGTTCAGAGGAAAAACATCGTAAGAATGTTTCCAAACAGCAGTTCACCACTTCCGTTTGTCCATCCGTTTGCGGATGATATGAGGTGCTCATACGCAGCACAATACCTTGAAGGCGGAATAATTCTTTCCAAAAGCGACTCAAGAAGAGGGGATCCCTATCACTGATGATAGACTTGGGAAAACCATGTAACTTCGCCACCTCACGGACAAACACTTCTGCAACAGTCCTTGCTGAGAAAGGATGCTTCAAGGGAAGGAAATGTGCATATTTGGACAGTCTATCCACAACCACCAGTATCACCTCAAATCCATGTGAGCGTGGAAGACCCGTGATAAAATCAAGAGAAATATCTTCCCAAACAGCATGAGGGATGGGAATGGGTTGCAACAACCCAGCAGGAGACATAGCCTCATATTTGTTACGTGACAAATCTCACATTCACGAATATATGTCATAATGGCTTGTTTCATTCCCTTCCAAAAGAAACTGCTGGCAAGACGCTTATACGTCTTATTGAACCCTGAGTGTCCTCCCATCAGTGTTGCATGATATTCGTTTAGAAGAGTGGGGATGAAGGTAGAACTTGCCGGAAGCACCAACCTACCTTTGAAGAATAGATACCCATCGCGCCAAGTATAATTGGTATTAAGAACCTCACCATCCAGGATCTGGTCTCTCAACTTAATCAACTCATGATCTTGCTGAATCTCATCACGAACCTTTGGAAAGTCTGTCCAAAAAGGGCTCATAGCAATTGTGTGTAACTCAACGAATTCCATTTGTCTAGACAAGGCATCTGCAGCTTTGTTTTCTAGACCAGGCTTATATATAACTTCAAATTGGAACCCCATAAGCTTCACGAGCCAACGTTGCTGATCTGTGGTGTTCAAACGCTGCTGAAGGAGGTGACGTAGACTACTATGGTCAGTAAACACTTTGAAGCTTCTTCCCAACAAATAGTGACGCCAGTGTTGCACTGCTAACGCCAATGCCATTATTTCCTTCTCATAAACAGACTTAGCTTGATTTGTTGTACTAAGGGCCTTGTTGAAATAAGCAATTGGTTGTTGTTGTTGCATTAACACTGCTCCAATTCCCCTGCCTGATGCATCACATTCAATTACAAATTCCTGCTTAAAATCAGTGAATGCCAAAACAGTATAAGACACAAGACATTGTTTCAATCTGGTGAATGCCTCGTTTTTTTCAACTCCCCAATGGAACCCATCCTTTTTGGTTAAAGCAGTAAGTAATTGGGCGATCTTCCCATAATCCTTGATGAATCGACGATAATAACCAGCGAGACCTAAGAACCCCCATACCTCCTTGGTAGTAGTAGGTAACGGCCAATCCACAACCGCTTGGACTTTACTGGGATCCATTTGAACTCCGTGAGCGGTGATCACATGTCCTAAATAGTCTATTGAGGACAATCCGAAAGAGCATTTCTTCCTGTTCGCCACAAAAGAATGTGTTTCTAGCAAGGACAAGACCTCGTGCAAGTGGGTCAAATGTGTACCCCAATCTGGACTGAAAATAAGGATATCATAAAAAAAACAAGAACGAAACGACGCAAGAAGGTACGAAAGACCATGTTCATTGTTGCTTGGAAGGTGGCTGGAGCATTGACTAATCCAAAAGGCATGACCAGGTATTCATAGTGCCCCTCGTGGGTTCGAAAAGAAGTCTTGGGAACATCAGCGTCCTGCATCCGAATCTGGTGGAAGCCTGACTTAAGGTCTATCTTAGAGAAGACTTGGGATCCATGAAGCTCATCAATTAATTCATTAATGGTCGGTAGGATATTTATCCAACACAGTCACCTTGTTTAAGGCTCGAAAATCCACGCACATCCTCCAAGTGTCATCCTTCTTCTTAACCAAAATTACCGGACTAGAGAATGGGCTTACTGAGTGTCGTATAACCCCTTCTGCAAGAAGCTCGCGCACTTGACGCTCAATCTCATCTTTATGGTGATATGCGTATCGATACGGTCGGACACTAACTGGCTTGATCCCTGGAAATAAATTGATTGCATGGTCATGAGATCGCTTGGGTGGAAGTCCTGTGCGTGGTTGGAAGACAATTTCATGGGCGATCAAGACATTGCACAATTCTAGCGAGAGATCTTTCTCACTCGTGGTAAGAGGATCTTCATCAATGACCAATTCCTGAAGCACTCCTTGCAAAGCTGGTGTGACCGAGGAGCCACGGAGATGCTGTCCTTGGAGAGTAACAACCTCGCCCTTATCACTGAAGCTAACAGTCTTTCGACGCCAATCAATGGTGGTGCGTCCTACGGTTTCTAACCATGACATTCCCAAGATGATGTCAACGCCCCCAAGATCCAACACATAAGCGTCCACAGAGAGAAAATAGTGGCCAACCTTAACTCGAATAGCTCTACATAAGCCCTGCGAGTAGCACTTCGATCCATTTCCCAATCCCACACAAAAGGAATCTGTAGGAGTTATTACAAGATTAAGAGAAGCTACAAGTTCACGAGCCACAAAGTTGTGGGTAGCACCGCTATCTACCAAAAGAAGGATGGGATACCCCTTCAACTCTCCATCAAACTTGATAGTTTTTGCCTGAGAAGGATCCCCTGATTCCAATGCTCGATAGTCCAACATTTGACATTGCATCTCGCTGTTTGGAATTGGTGGCTCGTCAATACAAGGCAACTCTGGTTGCTCAATGGGAGACTCATCCCCTTCAAAGATCAGGAGACGTAAATGTTGATCTGGACACACGTGGGTCGGACCCCATGGGTCGCCACATTTAAAACAGAGGCCTCGGTTTCTTCTTTCAAGGAGCTCCGAATAAGATAAATTTCGAGTTCCTGAGCGAGAATTCGACACAGTGGGTTTTTTGAGTCTTGGGCCTTGGATCTCGAGGCCCATTAATGTTGTTGGTCGAGTGAGAAAGGCTTGTGGGCCCAATGTGAGAAGTGCAATTCAAACCAATCCCTACATTTCCTGATAAAGATGGCTTTAATTGTGATGAAGGGCGTCCTCCAGATGCTCGAGATGGGGAAGACCAGTCCAGTTTCCGCTCAATAAGTCGGGCTACTGAAATCATGCGATTCCGATTCGGAGGCTCGAATGCTAACACCTCGGTGCAGATATCATCGCGAAGGCCGCCCAAAAAAAACCCCATGTATTGGTCTCCGTCATGGGAGGAACTTGAGCCAAGAGCACTTCGAAAGCCTCTACATATTCATCCACGGAAGTGGATTGATGGAGAAGCTTAAGTTGTGCAAATGGATTGCCCCATTGATGGTCTCCGTAACAATCCAAGAGGGCACGTTTAAACGTTTCCCATTGCAAATTGGGTTCTGCATTAGAAAGAACCTTGAACCAGTGCCAAGTCACACCCTCCATGCAAATTTGGACAAGGGACATATGCGTTTCTGGAGCTGTATTCTGGATGGAAAAATACAATTCAGCCTTCGCCAGCCATCCCACTGGATCTTCTCCAGAGAACGAAGGGAGGTCCACTCGTTTGGCAGCCACAGACTCATCAACGAGTAATTGATTCTGCGTTACTGAACCAGGTGAAGATGTGAGGGTTGAGAGTCGTGCTTGACGCATCTCATTGACAAGGTCAGCAACCGCGGAGGTCAAGCTATCCAGCTTTGATGATTGCGCGACAATGGAGGCTCCTTGCGATTGGAGTTTTTGTTTAATCTCGGCAAGTTCTGATTCAACAATATCCAGGCGTTGCGACGTCATTCTCGTTCTCATATACGAATAAGAAATAACAGGAATGTCTCTCAACGAAAGCACCAATGATACAATATGTATCTGAGGTACCTGCAATGGAAATAGAAAATAACAGAATAGAGAGGAAAGAAACCAGATTTCCAGAGAGCAAGGCTCTCCCAAGCAAGAGAGGAGTATCTATGCTCCCAATATCACTAACCAATTTCCAAAAGCTGTCCCATGATTATTACAAAGAGAATATATAACCAACCCTCACTTTCTAATAACAGAATCTGCAATTTCCAAAATACCCCTCCCAGCTAACAGCAGTCTCACTAACACTCAGTATTGGGTTTTATTCTTGGGCCTCCGACTATAGACTTGAATGGGTTTGCTCCACTTGGAGGAATGGTTTCTATCATAAATGTAAGTGATTATTGATGGATTAGGAAACCAGCAGTGTAGTCATTGGCTAGCACCCTGAGCCTAGATTCGTGTTCAAATGAGACCACAAAATTATGGGGCACAGCCCTTATACAGATGGCTAGTAACTTCATTTCCCCAGAGATTGGCCTGTAGTTGTAGCTGATACATACTCATTGCATATATAATAAAGAAAGTAATTACGCATTTTCCTCAATAACTCCGTCCTTCAAAAAATCTCGTGACTCCTACACCGCACTTAAGCCAGAAATTTAAATGACAAAAGCGACGTATACGTAAAATGACATCGATAACAAATCTCTTGACTCCCTCCACAAAAGTGAGCATTTTTTTCTTTCTTTTCATTTTTGCAGAGGTCCTAATAGACCTTAAGAAGAATGAGAATTAAGAATACGAAAATCAAACTTCCGCAGCATAACAAAGTTTAAAAAGACCAGCAAACAGACCAGCTGTGCTAAATAAAACCAGATAACGATGCCATAAATTGGCTCTTCAAATACTGCTAAAACACGAGACCCAAGGTAAACAATACAACCATCAAAAATACGTCTCAACCCCGTTATCATCGTTATGTATCTTCTGTTTCGTAAAATTTGTTTTTTGCAACAAAAAAAAAAAAGAAAAAAGATAACATGCGAAGCAGCAGCAATCCACCAAGCATGGCCCAACGTCTTGAGAAATTGATATGCAACAGCCAACACGTCAACATTTAACTCGAAATGATTCTTTAACTACTAGTCTAAAATATGAAACCAATTTCATTCTAAGTTGAAAATTAAATCATGTCTCACAATGATAGTAATCAATAGCCTTAAATTGAAAAAATACAATAAAATATAACAAAATTCAGCTCAGAACACGAGTGAATTAAAATCCCGTGTTTGTGCTACTTTATAAGTAGACCAACCTGCAATCAATGTAAAATACAAGTTTGCTATAGTTTCTTAACCTAACAACAAAGCATGTTAGTAAATTTCTATAAAACATATTCCAGCTTGATGATGTACTCTAGTCAGCTTGCAGCCTTTGCAACCTTTCTTTGCTCAATTTGGCCTGTTAATGGGCACTGCATCTCTGTCCAACTTACTGGAACCATAGTTGCACCTAAACAGAGAATATATAACATTGAGGCACATACTGATTCAATCAGGTATTTTCAACGAAAATAAAAGATGATATGTAAAACATCATTCCACAATTTTTCATAGCCACGTATGCTTAAATAAAACAATCCATTTCAATATTGCTCAGCATTGATGAAAATCCCTACCTGATAGGTGCTCAAGCCCATGCGAGTGTACAACTTATAATGTAAATATTATATTTTACTTCAGTGCTTGCTATAAATGTGATGAATCAAAAATAAGCATGTTAACATAATGGAGCCATTGTTGCTGTTCTTAACTGTTTATTACCTAAAAATTGATGCAATTAACTCAAATATAGAGCACATTGTGGGGAACATCCAAATTATTCTCATACAATTGAAAAATGCATTTACTCCCTAGGGCTTTAGCTATCCTCCTATAGATAAAATTTCCATATAGAGAAGTCAACGGCCCAGCATTTATTCAAGTTCAAGTTGAAAGTATCAGTCTTAGAGGGAGCTTCCTTCAAACCCAAATGTACTTCTATTGTACTAATAGTGTCCCTACCCAAGGAAAAACATGCAGAAGAAAAACTAAAGTCCCTAAATAGACAGAAAAAGGGAAACTGACAGATATCTGCCACAAATAAACTAGACTTCAGTAATAGACAGCAAACTATATAAGCAAGGCTCAAACAATCCCACAAGTCACTAAATTAACATAAACAACAGCGAACTAGCAACTGTTGAAGTGATTACTTATGGGGTTCAACTCCCACAATATGAGCAAAATTTTACCAGCGATGCTTTCTGCAGAAACAACACCAAGTTCATTCTTTGCAGTAGACAGAAAATATGCCCGTGCATCTCCAAGGGAAAGCTAACAGACAGAGATTTGGGTTAAGGCGTTATTCAAGCAGCAAGAAGAAACCAAATGATGAGGAGCATTACGGAAAACTTGAAATCAACTTATTAAAAGTCTTAAAAGTAATCATACCACATGAGCTCTAACAATGTCACCAGGATGAAAACATAAGTGCATCTCTACTTTATCAATCTCAGTTGCTCTAACATCTTGCTGCCTGTCATCAAAATAAGAATCATAAATACTAGAACACTTTCAAACACAAAATCTTATGAGAACTCAAACAAAACGAAATTCACCTCACCGTGCAGTGATTGCATATAAAAAATAACTTCATCTTAAGCATACAAGATCTATAATGACTACAATTCCTCCAATCCTTTAGCTTTAGATATGATAGCTAAATAATATAGAAGTTAAGAGTATAAGATACCTAATGATGCCGGAGAATTTTTCTCGAACAGACTTTGATCCAACACACATAATATCAGCTGAAGCGGTCCGAGCCATGACTTTGGTGACCTACGAAAGCAAAAGGCACGGTTGAAGACAGAGAAACAGTAATATAAAGCGCGTGAGAAAGAAACGTAGGCATGGTTATACCCGCGCAATGACGACAGATCCAGGTTGTGGAACAGGTCCATGAGCCTTGTGACCAGTCACTTCAATAGTCGGTCTCTGCAAGTTACAAATAATATATCAACAGTATATCACTATAATTAGAGTTCAGCTTCGAAGTGAAGAAACAAGCAACGCAGATAAGGATTTTGGTGAATTCATTGGTAAAATTGGGATGAGTAGGTTAATGAGTGGAAAACCCTACCTGGTCGGAGGAGTCCGGCGCGGGAGGTAGAGTGCGGCGGAAGCCAGTGAGGGAGGCATAAACGGTGTCGTTGTGAAGCGCGGCGTATGCTCCTCTTCCAGCTTTGACATCGGAGGTTCTACCCAACACTTCACCAGGTGTGACCATCACTGCTTCTTTCTCTTCTTCCATTAACGCT